GCATACTCCAATTCTAGAGGAAATTTGGCAAGCAGAGAAGATGGCTTTCATGATGATTATGATTATGATACATGAGATATTCTGGTTTATATAGTTAGATATAGTCATAAAATAACATAATGACACCACTTCATAATTTATATAATAGTGGCATGATTTTTGTGGTGTCATAAATAATGATTTATATAGTTTTAATATACACTCAAAAAACTGTCCACATGAGTCATCATTTTATAAGCCTTATGTCTCCACCATATCTCCACCGATTCCCACGGTGTAGGGCTCAAATGAAAGCCCTGAAGCCATACTACAATGTGGTATAAGCATGTCCTTGAGGCATTTGTGAGTTCTCACACAATATCATAGATAGTGAAAAATGTCAAAACATGCAGACAGTTTTTTGAGCCACTGTATGCCCCTGTATTGCAATTGAATGCATGAGCAAATCCATCATCACCTCCAACAAAAATAAGTCCCACCTCACAGGACTGTACACACTGTAGGGTAGGAATGACATACATATTTATCCACCCTGTCTTTGAGATTGCTCACAAGGAGGAAATTGCCATCAATGATGGCATTGCTGCTACAGCATATGAGTGAATATCTAGTACACAAGACAAAGTTTTCGCTTACATCCTTCCCTGCACCTTCTTGTGCCACTTTAAATCCCAAGGTTCAATAGAATAGCAAAATCTGAAAACAAGAGTTAGACTGAAAACAAGGATACAATCATCAACTGACATTTTGTCACTTTCCAGAAATGACACCAGAAGGGAAGCACTGTTATTGTAGAAGTGTACCATGCATGCAATGTAAAGCTGCTTTTCAAGCTGCAAGGTGATCAAGATGAGAGTTTCTAACAATAATCAACAGCTGGGCATCTCACTGTCTGATGTGAATTTCCAAACATGCAGACAACCTGTCATATGCCATTCCAGACTCTCAACTCTAAATCCACTTCTCCGGATATCCAGATCCAAGATCCGGATCTCAAATGATCTGATCTATCTTTATCTCCCTTCTGGAATCCAAACCCTATATCAGCGCCCAACTCCATTTAGACTGCCCCTGTCTCTGGACTCCGGTTAACCATGTTTCCTTTTGATTATTGATCCGTTACATACATTTCATTTCCGGTGTTCATTATTTGTGATCCATCCTACTTACTAATAGACTTTGCATATACTTCGTACATAGCCTTTATGTTTGCTGACTAATTCCTATATGATACCTACAGTATATAAACCTCCTGTAACTCTCGGAAATACTGCAGTTTGAATATCATCTTAGTTCCTGCTCATTCCTGTGTCCTCCAGACTTGAGATAAGTCTCTTGTCATATTCCGAGTCTTAGGATTGCATCCTAGACTACATTTCTGACTCTACATTAAGGGTAGTCCATCCTCTGTTAGTTTCTAGTCCGGACTTCATCTGGATTAGTCTTATCTGCTTGTCCAAGTAACATCCGGACGTCTGTTGGATTTATCTCACATTTCAGATCTGGACGTCTGTTGTCTGCCCTAGTCAAATCCCAGAAACTCTGGACGACTGTTCTAGCCCCTGGAAATTAAGGGCACATACTCAGGAAAGGGACACAGCATACAAGCTGAGGCCAAGCCCTTGTGATCCGACCCCCTTAAGCATGCAACCTTAACATGAGGCCTAGTGGTACCAGTACCAGTTGCTGAAAAAAAGAAAATTTGTTTGTGGATTGCACACATGCATAAACAAGTATGCCAATTATCACTGTGAGAGTAAGCATGTCAGTACTGAACAGTTATGTGAATGCATGTACAGTGGCTCAAAAAAGTGTCCCAATGTTTGTGAGTTTTCATGTAATTGCTTCATTGTGGGTCAGGGCGTGGGAATATGACTAAGCTATAGGGAGGCATCAGAGAGCTCTGCTTCTTTGTGTTGTCTTTGTTCCCTATAGCGTGGGAATCTGACATTAGTGTGTGAAAATATGGACATTTTAATCTGGTGACTCATTGGGACACTTTTTTGACTTTCAATTTGATCAATACAATCTCTATAATTCTAGTACTTGGTGTGTCCTCCTGTTGCTCTAATCACCTCTACCACTCTTATAAACATATTTTCTATCAATTCCTAGCATTGCCCATTAATAATCTTCCCCCACTATGCTGCAACTCCCTCCCATAGCTGAAATAGCCCCTATTTTCATTCTCAGCTCCTCTCATCTGTCTACCAGGCAAATTTCTACTACAGCTGATCTGGGCAGGAATACTATTGCTAAACTCATCAAAATGGCCATTCCAATTAAGGAAAATATCAAATCACATCACCCTTTTAAGCTTATACCATATAGCAAAGATCTTTTGTGTATCATATTTTGACCAGGCAGGCTGCTAATGCTACTCAAGCCATTAAATGCATTGATTCCACCATCCAAACCATTGTCTCCACTCAAATAGTCAGGAATGCTCTTAAGGCAGCCACTGTTAAGGTCGTACTCAAGGGCTAATGGATCCTAAGGGCTTTGGCCTCAGCTCGTGTGCTGTGCCCCTTACCCAAGTATTGCCCCTTATTTCAGAAGGGCAAGACTAACACGTCTGGAGGGTCAGATGAGTAGCATAGTGGATCCAGATGACTTCCAGATGCAGGATAAGTATCATAGGGCTAATCCAGATGAGTCCAGACTAGAAACTAATGGTAGTGGACTGTCGTAGACAGAGGCAGATATGGATAGACTATAGGAATCAATCCCAAGTCTCAGAGGGTGATAAGAGTAGAGATACTCAGGTCTGGAGGACAGGAATGAGCAGAACTAAGATGATATTCAAACTAAGGTGTTACAGAGATTTACAGGAGGTTATATACTATAGGTATCTAACGGAATGATCAATCAACAGGGTCCAAGGCTATGTATGAAGCATATGGATAGTCTATTGGTAAGTAGAAATGGATCACAAGTAATGAAATGGAAATGAAGCATAGGTAACAGATCAGGGAGCAGGACAGATATACAGATAACCGAAATACCGGAGTTAGGGGATTACTGAAAGGAGATGAGCGCTGGTTGTGGATTTGGATGAATTGTGGACCAGACCGGACAAGTGGACAGATTGGATGATGAGATGTTGGAGGGGGATAAGATGTGGATAGGATTGGAGATAAGATGTGGATCGGATCTGAGATCTGGATATGTGGATATGACAGCCACCCTTAAAGCTAAAACCAAGAAGGAAAGCTTCTTCTATCTTCAGCCAATGGAGGGAGGCAACTAGCTTTTGTTCTAAAGCACCAGTACTGGACTTTGAGACCTGAAATAGAGATATCTGGTTGGATGAGATGAAAACCAAGAGCATAGGGTCAAATGGCCAGGAATATGTATGGGAAGAGGCAGAAGAACTACTTGGACAAAGAGAAGTCAAGGAAATACTCAAATTTAGAGGATAAAACTTGATGATATAGGGCTATATGAGGTGAAATAGAGTAAGAATTCTCCATGAGCTGGAGGGGAGGATAAATGCAGAGCAGTACATCTTAATTTTGGAGGAGTGTCTGCTTAGAAGTGTGTAGAAATCAGAAATCATTGAAGAAGACACTATCTTCTAATAGGATAATAATCTCAAGCATACTCCAAGTCAGCTATCAAATGGTTTGAAAACAATGATATTACTATTCTGTCATAGCAAGCACAGTCTTCAGACCTCAACCCTGCTGAACAGCTCTGGAAATTGCTCAGGATATTACTTGCAGTATATTAAGATCCTTCATAGGGGCTATTTCAGCTATGGGAGGGAGTTGCAGCATAGTGGGGGAAGATTATTAATGGGCAATGCTAGGAATTGATAGAAAGTATGTTTATAAGAGTGGTAGAGGTGATTAGCAGTGTTGTCACTAACCCATTAAAAGGGTTATAACTTAACCCGGTTATAACCGGTTAAGAGGTTAGTTAAATGGATCTGTGATTTTGGGAGGGTTAGTAGGGTTAATGTACCAGGAGTTAAATGGGTTAAATGGGGGGTTGGCAAACTTTTTAATTATTATTGTTGATCAATCAGACTCTCTGCCATTCACCCAGGACTATTTTGCCTTTGAAAGCTTCTCCGATGGCAAGGGAGAAGTCCTGGATATGGGAACATTTCCATCAGGGGCCTACAAAGGTTGATAAAGTGCACTGGCAGGCACACTGTAAATACTGTGTCACGGTCAAGGCTAAGGATCTCAGGAATGCTGATCAGCAGGCCATTGCACATGGAATATTGCAGGCTGTCCAAACTCACAGAATTTTGACTCAGGAAGGTGAGTTATTGCCAATTGATGTGTTACATAAATCATTTATGTAAAACATACTCAAACAGCCTGTGACAATGTCCTTCATATTGCCAGAAAGGTTGAAATAATGGCAAACCATCTGCTGGGTTGTCAGTATGTCCTTGGAAATGTCAAGAGTGATGCTGAAACACTTAAATGTGGAAAGAAGCAGCAGGCCAGTGACAAGGATGATGAGGGACCTTCCACCAAACCACAACTTGTCACATCTGCCAGTCACAGTGGTGACGTCACAATAACAGAAGGAAGAGCTATTGTTCCACGGAAGCAACAGAGGTTCAACATAATTGCAGCAAAAGTCATTCCATTTGGTCTGAGCAAGCAGGAAGCTTTCTCCTAACAATTACTCCAAGCATGTGTCTCTGCAGGCTGGTCCTTCAATTCAATCACTGATCCTGAAGTTCAAAAACTCTTTTATGATTATATTCCCAGAGCTATGATTCCAACAAGGCATGCTTTGTGAGGCAAGATCCTTCATGCAGAAGTCACCAGGGTCGAGGGAGATATCAAGCACATCCTCCATCAGGGTGCATATTCAGTTCTGTTGGCTGATGGCTGGAGGGATTTGGCAAGAATCCATCAGATTGCCTTTACCCATACCGTCGAACGTCAGGTAAGTAAAATTTAAATTCCAGGCTAAGTATATATGCTGATGGTCAGCTGGCAGACATATGTTCTGCATGTTCATGATACATCGGCAAAAAAAAGACTGGTCAACTAGTATTCGAGCTCATGGAGAAAGAATATCATTACATCAAAGATGTTCTGCTTCTGACCATGATTGGTGCTTGTGGAGATGCTGGTGGAGACGAGAAGCGAGGTCATCTCCTCTTCCTACAAAAATACCCATGGATGCTTGTTATGGACTACTGGAGTCATCAGGTACATACCATTTATATTCTGGCATGAACTACATTTAATGTTCAATCAAGATAAATCTCATTTTGGGCAACTACTACAAGGCCAATGGAGATATCAGTGCTGTTGTCGACAATGCCAATTAAATTATTAAGTGGTTCAACAATCACTCGTTCACACTGGGGCTGCTGAATGGCAAGCAAATGTCAATGTTTCACAAAATACTCGCACTTATCCTGCCTGTTGTCACTTGATGGATATCACATTTCTGTTCACTATCTCAACTTCTTGAGGTTTCAAAGGCAATGAAAGTGACAGTGATGAAACATGAGGACAAATTATTGGTAGCTGCAGGGAGGACTTGTCAAGCAAAAGACAAGGCTTGCAAAGTTCTCGACCATGTTTCAAATGATTCATTCTGGAAACGACTCATTTGGTCTGTGGTTTAAACCCTTCATTGCACCAGTACTCATATTTACTCATCATACAGACTCAAGACTCATATTGAGCCACTTGCCATTGCTGTTACAGCCATGTATGCCCCTATTCATTTTCCCTTTCTTACTCATCTGTATTACGTCATGAGCTGCACACTGCCACCATTAGACTTATCTTGACTCATTTTGTATTACATCACAATCACCGCTGCCATTGCTAGATGACTCATTTCTTATCTCTGACTCACTTCTTATCTCTGACTCATTGTCGACTCATGCCTGCCCTAAATCGTCTCTAAACCTATATATAGTCGACAATGTACTCAGTAGTACTTCACTTTAATTTATTAGGCTTTCACCTGAATATTCTCTCACTTAGGACCTCCAATCCTAAGTCGTCTGAACCGATATTCAAGTCAAAGACACTCTCTTTGCCTTGTCTTACGACCCTTGTATTTGCAAGGTCTTAGCCATAACTTCAGCCATCACTCTTATCGAGCTGCTATTGTTATGACCATCCTAGTTCGTAACAATTGCTGTCAACATCTCGCAACACTCAAATACATGCTGCAACCAGGTCTTACTCCTCCTCAGCAAACTCTACCACACCTACATAAATCTTCGCATCATGGATTGCAGTCTTCCACTTGTGGAAGACAAAGATGAGTCACATCCTGTCACATCTATCATCAACAGTATTGAGAAGAGATGGGAATGTGTAGACCAAGACCTGTTCATTATGGCTCTGTTCCTAAACCCACTGATCAACACCAACCTCATCAATGGTCATGTCCTCCCACCCAGTGTCCTTATGGGAATTGCCTGACGGCTATATCTTCACATTTTCAAGCTTGACATCAGTGATACACCAGCTGGTCTTATTGGCCAAATCTATGAATATCAACACCACACTGGAATATTTGCACCAGCTGTGTGGCCGATACTAGAACTGAAAGACTCACTGAAGGATGAGGTGTGTTTTTAGGACTCATGGAACTTTCAATTGCTAAATCCATCATTTTAGGATGGAACTTGTGATTTTCTCTGCATCTGGGGCTTGCTCGACTCAGAAAATCCACTTGTGCAGCTCGCATAACTTGTGTTGAGCCTTGTCCCAAACTCTGCATCAGTCGAGTGCCTGTTTTCTTCAATGGGCAACACAAAATCAAAAAGATGGACTCACTTGGGTGTGCAGAAGAACTGCAACATGTCATTTCTCAAGATGGAGCTCCATTGACAACATGCCATTGATGGCACAGCCCAGTGCTGACTCAAACACCAATTCGGCAACCCTGAAACAGTCACCAACTGTGATCCTACTGGCAGTTGTATGGAAGATCAGGAACTCGTCATGAATGCTGACATCGACACACTGCTCACCGATGAGTCCAATATAGATGACAATGACGGTGATTGTGTTGCAGAGAATGGACCCAAGAGCAACAGCCCTTTACCATCCTCATTTTCAGCTGTTGCACTGCAGTTGTGGCAAGATGCCAACAATGACGACAATGACGAATACACATCTGGGTTAGGAGAAGTCATCGAAATTGAGGAGGACATCTCACACCCTGCAGAAGGTAGCAGACCACAGCAAACTTGTTGTTTCTTTGGTCAGAAGAGAATGTTTTGCATCTGGGACATGTTCAATTGGTTGGTTGAGGTTGGATGGGATGAGTTTTGGTTCCAGGGTGTGAAAAACATGGAGAGTGAGACATTATTCTACAAGCTATTATCACACCTGCCTGAAGATGAAGTGTCACACACTGGTGAGAATGCACCAGGGGAGTCATTGGACATGGGAAGTGGTCCATCAAGCTCAAATATTCCAATTGTTATCAATGACTCAGACTGGCCAGTACCTGGTAGCAATTAACTATTATTTAACCCCATTAACCCCAGTTATTTCACAGTTAATTCGAGGCAGGACGTACCAGTTATAACCTATTCAGTTATAACCCAGGTTCAAAACAACACTGGTGATTAGAGCAACAGGAGGACACACCAAGTACTAGAATTATAGAGATTATATTGATCAAATTGAAAGTCAAAAAAGTGTCCCAATGAGTCACCAGATTAAAATGTCCATATTTTCACACACTAATGTCAGATTCCCACGCTATAGGGAACAAAGACAACACAAAGAAGCAGAGCTCTCTGATGCCTCCCTATAGCTTAGTCATATTCCCACTCCCTGACTCACAATGAAGCAATTACATGAAAACTCACAAACATTGGGACACTTTTTTGAGCCACTGTACATAGTGCTGCAAACTGCATTGCTGGATATGGATGTTGATGAAATCATCCTGCCTGAAGCAAAGACATGTGAAATATGACAATATTGGCAAAGATGCTATTGACAAGGTGCTGGAAAGCTGCTGGAGCATTGGTAAAACCCTCAGGCATAACTAACCATTCATAGGAGCCATAGCACATTCAGAAGGCTGTCTTCCACTCATCCCCAGAGGCAATCCAGATGAGATGATAAGTGGACTGAAGGTTGATTTTGGTGTAAACTTTGGTGCAGCTTGGAGAGTCTAGAAGGTCAGCAATGAGTGGTGGTGGATAACTGTCTTTCTCAGGGATTTTGTTTAGGCTATGAAAATCCACGCAAAGACATAGGGAGCCGTCCTTCTTTTTGACAAATAGGACAGGCTCCATGTGGAGAGGATGAGGAGTGGAGGAGTCCAGACAAGATATTTTCATCAAGAAACATCTGGAGAGCTTCAAGGTGGAATCAGAGGGATTGCATAGGTTGGTTGAGTCAATGTGACCCTCATCCCATGTGAAGTCAGGAGGGTTACAGACTATTCTTTGCCTCATCCAAGGCATCTGGTTTGGTTTCCAGATTGACTGTCACAGTGTGGCCTTTGGCAGCATGCAAAGACAACTTGTTGCATTCACAGGTAGTATGCCTGTCAAGATAGAGGCCAAAGACTAATATGTGTCAACCATTGGTGTAATTGAAGTTAATCATGCGTGGGATCATTGTAGAGAGCTCAATGCTGAAGATAGGAATTAATGGACCCTTGTAAGTTAAATGACCAGACTTGAATGCATTTTTCGCATGTCCCAGTAGCAATATGGGTGTCATTCCCATAATGATCATGGGCAAGACAACATAATCTCTTTGCCTGTACCAATTCTTCTTGAGATTTTGGCGTCAACATCTTGCAAACCTTCGCCATGCTGTTGCCAAATGCCAATGAAGCTCAGTCTGTACCATAGCACAATGTCTTGTGCATCACCTCTTGGTGGGTGATCATGCGCATGTTATGGGATCTGCTGGATTTTGAATGCCTATGATGTGACACTACTCTCAAGTGAGTTTGTTGTAGGCTGATGCATATCAAACTCATCCCCGCTTGCCAATAGAGTGCCATTACTTGAAGAGAAGGACAGGCAATTAATCGCATTTTTATGTCCAATGAGATGCCCTTCAAGGCAATATTCCTTGCGATCATCCATGTGCAGCAAAAACATCAATGGTTCGTGATGTAAGTCAATTCCTCATCACCCAAGTGTTCAATCAGTCCGTCAGTCATGCCTCATACATCTGTGCCTGGCCCTGCTTTCCATCAGGCAACTGATCCTCCACAGTCATTTCCATTGTTGACATATCACACAGAATTACTCTATCCAACTACTTCATTTGTCTTGATCTCCTTGCAAGAAGAGATAGCATTCTCCACACTTAGGGGAAGCATTCTTCCTCCTTCACGTATCTTCACCAGCACATCATTCTGTGCAACTACACCTATCTCTTCTCACCCTTCCACTCCCAAAGTCACCAAGGCAGTTTCCTTCTCAGCCAAGCATGTGTCGCAGCTTGGTGAGCTAGACCAGTTGCCCATGTGCTCTTCCATCACATCCATGAATTCCAATACATCAAAAATCATCAAACCAAAGGGTGAGGCAGGGCATCTGAGTTGAGGCAGATATAACTTGGCAGATGCACTCCATTGGGATGCTCTTTGCTTCAAACAGTTCAAGGTAAGATACAGTAAATTATTGATGTGTTCCTATGTATATTCATGATGTTTAGGACTCTGTTCACCAATCTATTGACAAGCAGTGTGATACTTGCAAGAGTAAAATATACCAATTGCCTACTGCATTGATTTCTGTTCAGAATGATGTGCATCTACGAAATCTACACTTCTTTCTAACTACCTTCCATTTGAGGTCATTGCACACTTTCTTGAATTACATGACTATCAAGACTTTTGGCCAGTGGGAGATGTAATTCAGATGCAACTTAAAAATCTCTCTGCCAAAGAATGACAAATGGAAACTAAGAAAACATAGATGGAAATGGAATTAGGAAATAGTTTGATCATGAGTGGTATTAATGATACTGATTGTGTCAGCATTGCGATATCTATGGATTTGTATCCCAGCTAATGAATATTTGACCAACCAAGATCGTCCTTAAAGAAGCTGATCAGCCAGCTAGGTTGCATGATGATGTTCATGAACTACAGTACAGCAACCATGAACTGTTGCTCTGAAAGCATTATGTTCAGGGAAGGCATTGTTTCAAGTCACTTATGCTCCTGTCTTACTTGCCTCCAGATAAATGCAAATTCATGTGAGTTGGGGATGCAATCAGTCATTGATCAGTATTGTCAGAAACTTGAATCCCTTGAACTCGAGAAAGTTGAGGCCATCATTGATCTCACAAAAGATGAGGACTATATGCTTTATAGTGGAGCAATGCAGGAAGCTGTCACGTCTTTCATAGAGAGTATGGGCCCTGGTCCAGATCCACTTACACTGCAGTCAGATATAATGGCCACACACAAATTGGATTGGAACCAATGGGTCATTGACATACTCTTGTCTCTATCTATATATCTGTGGAGGAGAAGAACCACTGGACCACAAGGTCCCATCAGTTGATCACAAATGATATCACATTAAAATTTGATCAATGTCACAAGTGCTAGAGAAATGCCCAGCCTCTCTTCTGCAATGATGGCACTTGCGAGAGTATGCAAGAAGTGGGAGATCATTTGGTAGATCTGATGAATGAACGATTGTGACTGGCTAGAGTCGACTTGCAAGGCAACAGTAAGTCTCTTTTTTGGTTTCATTGTAGATCAAGTTATTAATGGTCAAGATGCCCACTAGAAGTTTGAAACTTGGCAAAAGGTCACTGCTCAGTGATCAGAAAGTGACAGGAAAAGATAATCTATCTGTGTGGGTGTATTTGAACTCCATCATGGAAACACTGGGTAAAGATGGGATGAGCTCTGACAAGAGTGACATTGATGACTGTGAAGTTCCAGCTCTTCGGTTGAAAAGTGTGCTGTGGAGAGCTGATTTCAGTCATGAGATGAAAATCATTGACACACAATGTTTCGCAGGTTTGGCAATCTTCACTCCAAGGGGAAGTAAGCCTGCAAAGCATATTCACAACCCTAAGTGGGAGTCTTTACAACCAGCAGTTGCAGCTCTACCTAAAGCATTCTACAATCCATTGTGGTTGAGTAAGCAATGTTCAACATTCAAAGTATCTAGCACAAAGTTCCAGAGGATGGAAATTATGGTTGCACACACAAAATGAGTCATTGGTTGTATTGTATAATATCACATCACTGTATGCCATTGCTATTGCCAATTGTACTACATATGCTATGTCTATCATTATAGTGGGCGCTGCCATTCAGGCAGAGTTGAAATATGTCAGTCATTCTCTATATTAGGTCGATCTCGCCTTACTAAGTTGTTTGCATCTCCCTGACATTTTTTTGTACCAAGTACAGTACATATGCTAGCCCATGAGTAATTGCAGTGCTCATCATCATTAGTTACTCATTCATATCATACAATCCACGTATTCATGCTGAGAACATGTGTTTCACTCTCTGGGTACCCTGCTGGCATCCTTTTTGTGCAGTGTCTCACTCTGCATATCCTCCTGGCATCCCTACAGGGGAGCTTAGTCAGACTGAGCTTGCAATGGTTTCAACAGATGGGGATTGTACTGGGGCAGGTGGCTACCACCACCACTAATTATTCTAATCTTTTAATCATAAATTTCATCAGCAATTACCATGAAATTCAAATTGACCACCTTATTTCTTTTGGACAGTGACTAGGCATGATCTCACTGACTTCAATTTCCCACAGTACAACTTGAAGTGCTGTATAGATGCATTCTCATAAGAGGTTGGTTGTAGTTCCATGAATTAGATGACACATGTCTAACAGATTGCAAGACCTATGATAATGCACATTATAGTGTGATTACTGGGACAACATCACAGAATGATGCAGAGGCCATTATCTCCGTCTGGAGTCACCAACAGGACAATCATGCGACCCCACATTGCCTAGGAACCACACTCAAACACTTTGTGTGTGAAATTGTCCAGCTAACCATTGCAATGGCTCCACTCAGCTCCACTTTTTCTTCACTTTGCTTCATAATGAGGTTATTTATGATGCAACTCTGATGTCATTTCTCTTTCCAACCTTATTTCTTGGTACTATACAGTTTCTTCCATCTCACGTATTTAAGGAGAGCTCATCTCCACCTACAAACAAGAATCTCTTTTATCATTTAAAAGAACCCTCCACTTCTTTTCACTTTCTCTAACATTGACACTCTTTGTGTTAGCTGGGGAGTGTGGACCAAGTATATCTGATTTACTTGCTCTGAGATCATCCACTTTTTTCTTGACTGTACCTGTATTGCCTAGTGTACATCTGACATATAGTTTCAGGAGACTAGAAATATCAAGTCAAGCTTATTTCTTCTATTTGCAGATTCCTTTGTTGGACTATCTGCACATTTATTTTTCTTGGATTAACTCCTTTGCAATCTAG